CTGCAGGGCAGGGACCTTTGTTTTGTTCACCGATGCATCCTAAGACAAGGTGGGCACATGACAGATACTCAGTGTTAAGTGAACGAAAGAATGAAATGGACCAGTTTAAGTTCTGGGTGCACCCCCCACCCCAGTGGGCATGGGGGCTCCAGGGCAAGATGAGATGAGGGATAGAAAGTGAGTGAGTCTTTGACTTCCCTACATCAATGACTCAGGATATGCTGGTGGGGCCTCCAGGACAGTAGAGAGGCCAAGGCAAGACTCACCTGCTTTGCAAGGCCAGCAGGGTAAGTGCCCAGGGTGACCATGGTGCTATCAGAGAAAAGAGATCACCCCTTTAGGTCAGGGAAGCTGCTTGGGGGTACAGTGTTCAGTGAGGTTCGAGTCACAACCTCCACCCTCCTTCCTTTCTTCCCTTCCTCCCTCTCTGCCTCCCTCTCCCCCTGTCTCCCTCTTCCCTTCCTCCTATAAACCACTCTGTTCAGCTGACAGCAGGGATGAAAACTTGTCCCCCTTAACTGCACTCTCCCTCCATCTCTCTCTGTGTGAGCCATCTTATTTGTGCAACATCCAAAGCCAAAATAATTTACCTGTTTGGAGTGAACTGGAGTTTTAATTTCTGATTTCTTGAGGAAAACATAGCCTTTGAAAGGAGTTTCTATGGCAAAGTGAAATTAAGTCAGAACAGGAGAAGAATGTACATTCTGGTTAGAGGTTATTCCCTTCACATCCACCTCCCATGAGTACTTGTCCCGGGCTAGCCCCCTCTCACCCAGTCCTACCCGCACCCCAACTGCTGGTTCGCATGTGTTCAGATGATGACTGTGTTGGTGTTGCCCAGGAGAGGGCACAGGTGGGTGCTGGGTGCTCCTGGAGGGCAGGGAAGGCGGGGTGGGGGTGGGGTGGATAGAAGGGAAGGGACTCAGCCCAGAGGGTGGAAAGCCTTTTGCAGTGAGCCAGCTGGCTGAGGGTTGAGGTTGCTGGAAGCCAGAGGACGGTTGTCTATGGACGACTATAATCCACATGGTCACCTTATAAACTAGAAGTAGGACTCTCACCACCAGCCAGAGATGACCGGTTTCTTTGCCCCAGAATCATGCCAACTAGGATCCCAGGATCGTGCTGTACACACCGATGCCACTGGGCTCGGCTAGTGGGGCAACTCTCCCGCCCCTTATATGAGGCACCTTCCCAATTTCAGGGTCTGTGGAATGGCAAATAGGAATCCCGGGAGCTTAGGATAGAGAAGTTGCAACTGGGGGAGCTGTATTCCCCCAGGGCCTGGCCCTCTCTAGCTTGGGTCACCTCTCTCTTGGGAAGGAGAGAATGCAGACACGTTTAGCCCCTCCATCAACTACATTTCTCTGATCTTTCTCCTGGTTTTGTGGACAAGGGCTCTCGATGCAGCCATGTCCAGGGCAGACAGTTAAAATGCTACCATGTAAGGGCACTGAGCAGAGGATCTCAGAGGCAAAACCCGTTAGTTGCTGAGGGTGTTCTCAGGGAGCACTGGGGCCTGGCCTTGAGGCAGGAGGTGTTCGAGTCTTTTCATGTTTTAACGGCAGGCTTATTTGGGGGCGGACTGATTGACTATCAGTAGATGATGCGGCAGTGAGGTTTGCTGCTGTTTTTCTGTCACACCGCTTCAGGCAGGGCCCGGGAGGGGCCCTCAAGTGGACCCAGGGCCCCTGGGGAACAAAGAAGTTCAAGGCTTAGCTCACCCAGGAAACAGAGACAGAGGAGGTGTTATTGGGCCTCAGCAGCACGAGGGAGCCCTGCTGGATGACGGTGGCCCCGTGATCGTCAAGGCGGACCGTGGGAGGGTCAGGGGTGCTGATGGTCAGCCCCGTTCTTCCTGGGGACTGTTTAAAAGCCAGAATGAAGTTGAAGCATAAGAGGTGTGGGCAGGCCTAGAAGATGGCTTTTCTTAGCCCCCAGTTTGGAGGAACGGGGAAAAGACCATCTGAGGAGTCACGGGGTCTTGAGTTTTTGTTCTAGCTCTGCAGCGACGTGCAGTGTGACCTTGAGAAGGTTACTATCTCACTGAACTCCTCGGAGGTAAGATTACATCCTCCTCCTGGGCATGCATAGCAGGTAAGAACATAGAGTTTGGAGCTCGAGTCCTAGCTCCACCACTTGCAAACTGTGTGGTCTGAGACAAGTTTCTTAATCTCTCTGTGTCCCAGTTTTCATATTTGTAAAATGGGGATAATAATCATGTCTATCCTATAAGGTCATTGTGGGGATAAAATGAATTAATTTATAGCAAGTGCTTAGAACAGAACCGGGCACCCACTAATGCTATTGTTATCGATTGTGGTTATTGTTATTGCTGATCCATCAGGTGCCATGTTCTAAGAGCTTTGGAGAGAGGACATTGAGTGTGAATTTTGGAGTCTGGGTCTGGGTTCAAATTCTGATTCTGCCACTTACTGAGCAATGTGAGCTTAGGCAAGTGAATTCAGCATGCTGAACCTGTTTGCTGATGTATGAAAATGTGTGAGAGTGCAAGTTTGCTGAGAATTACGGCTGGCACACAGCCACCACTCACTGTGCCTCAGTAGGCTGGTGTCTTGTTCAGTATTGGATAATGACAGCCACATGCCATGGTCACTGGGTAGAGCGCTGAGTGCCTTACTTGAATCATCTCCTTTAATTCTCACAACACCCGTAAAGCAAGTGCAATGATTTTGTGAGTCCACAGGAGGAAACTCTGGCCAAATGGGTCATGCCCAGGGGGCCAGATCCTGCTCCCCCACCCCGAATCTTTTCTGGGATCCTTGCCAGGGAGCTGGGGGCGGGGTGGGAGGTGGGGAGCTGGCAACACACTCACCTTGGGCCTGGGTTCCAATTCTCTCAGTGACAACAGCTGAATGAGGTCGGCAGCCTGGGAAAAGGGCAAAATGTGTGTTGGCCTTTAGAATCCTTAGATCTGTTCTGAGCAGGTTTGGGGGATGTCCATTGGGGTTCTGTCCCCAACAGAATGCACCACCTGCACATCAGTCAGTCTGCACGGGAGGAGCCATTTACCTGGAGTCTCATTTGATTTACCTGGAAAGAGTAACCTTTCTTTGTTTCAATGACCACCCCCCCAACATTTTATTGTGAAATTTTTCACACATGCATCAAAGGTGAAAGAACTTTATAGAAAACATTTGTGTACTTATCACCTAGAGATTCTTCTATTAATAGTTTCCTATATTTAAAGCAAGTACATCACATTTCTATCAATTTACCTATGCTGCATTGATTTTTGAAGATCATAAATCATTATGAAAAACACAACAAATTGTATAAAGTAAAAAGTAAAAGTCTACTCTAACACCTCTTCCCCCTTTTCCCTAAAACCTATTCTCAGGGGTTCCCACTGTTGATATTTTGGAGTATATCCTGACGGACATTTTCTATACACATATAAGCATGAATAGATGGGAAAATTTTAACCATGTGGCCCTACACCTTGTTTAGTCCTCTCACCATCAGTACATATAGAACAACTCCATTCTTTTTAACAGTTGCATAGTATTCTGCTTTTTATGACCATAACCTGATTTATTTTTTAAATTCCTTATTGATGGACACCTAGGTTAACTTTGCTTTTCTCCCTATAACAAGCGAAGCTACAAAGAACCCCCTTGCACATACATTCTTGCCCACTGGTGTAAGAATTTCTCTGGACATGGAATTACAGGGTTCACGTCTAACTGTTTCAGAGCTGCCACACCTGTGTAGGATGGAGGGAAGAGCATGAGGAGGCAGGAGACGGGCTCCAGTCCTAATTCCACCTGCTGGATGACCTTGGGCCAGTCACTTTCCCTATCTGGACCTTGGTTTCCTCATGTGGAAATGGAGCAATAACATTAGAACTCTTCCAGATATGCATCTTATTTCAGTGTTTACTGAGTACCCACTGTGTGTCCTTCACATAGTATCCTGTTCACAGTCCCTGCCCTCAAAATGGGGGGACAGTAAACATACAAAGTTAAATAAATAAACATACAAATACACATATGTGTGTATATATATGTGTGTAAAACTTTGCATATGTAACTTTATTCATACATACACAGTAATCAGTGTTTTGAAGGGAAAAGAACAGAATGAGAGAGAGAAAGAAAGAGGTGGGGGGAGAGAAAGCTTCCTTTAGATATTTAGATGAAGTGATCAAGGAGGGGCTTTCTGAGGAGATGACATTTGCACTGAGACCAGCAGTGGAGGGAAGAGAGTCCTGGGCAGAGAGACCAGCGTGTGCCAGGCCCTAAGGTGGGAGCCGAGCTCAGCCTGTGTGTCTGGAGTGTAGCAGGTGAGGAGATAAGGCTGGAGAGGTGGGCAGGGGTCAGATCATGCAGGGCCCCAGGAGTGGCACAGAGGAGACTGACTTCTTTAGAAGGTGACAAGGAGCTGCTGGAGGCTTTTGACAGTGATGTATCTGTTTTTCTCCCTCATCGATTCCCTCATTGACCCAGGGAACGTGCTCTTCTTGCAGACCTCTGTGTGTGTGCCTCGTCACCAGTAGATACCACCTTAGAGATGTCTTCACTGACTTCCCTGTCCAGGGGAGGGAGCCCTCTCATCTCCACCAGTCACTTACTGATCCATTGCTCTATATTATTTCATTTATCTGTTTAATTATATTATATTATATTATATTATATTATATTATATTATATTATATTATTGATTTCAGAGAGGAAGGGAGAGGGAGAAAGAGATAGAAACATCGATGATGAGAATCATTGATCGGCTGCCTCCTGCACGCCCCCTACTGGGGATCGAGCCTGCAACCCAGGCACGTGCCCCCGACTGGAATCGAACTCAGGACCCTTCAGTCCTCAGGCCGATGCTCTATCCATTGAGCAAAACCAGCTAGGGCTCTCTGACTGTTTTCTTGTTCGGTTTCTACTCCCCAATCTGACTGAGTTCTGCAAGGGCAGGGACCGGTATGCACAGGACCTGGCACACAGAAGGCCGTTAATAAATGTTGTGGCACAAATGAATGGATAAGTTTTGTGAAGCGAGTAACAAGGGGCCTGGGAGTTTAAGGACGTCTTCCAGGAGGAAGGGACTTCTGTGCTGGAGGAGTTATCCAGGTGAGGTCCAGAGAGGAGGAGTGGCTTACCTAGGCCACCCACAAAGAGATTTCTGCCAGCTCTACCTCGGCTTCTTCATGTGAAAACAGAGCAGTGACATTTGTCATGTCCCACCCTCCTTCCCCTTCCTCAGCACTCACCGTGGAGTCCTGGGGGTCCACACGGACTTCCTTACTGGTGTAGAGGCAGGACAGGATGTCATTGTAGGCTTCCACCCAAAAGGCCAGGTCTGCCATGCTGCCCTGGGCTAATTTTGGGAGGGGCTGGGGGGCCAGGTGGTCAGACCTTGGGGCCCTCTGGCCTGGGCCACAGGGGGTCACGAGCTTTAGAGAAATGAAGGGGGAAGAAGAAATTCCATGGGAACGGCCTCCTTGGCCAACAACTGGTTACAGCTCATACATCGAGGGCTCACTATGTGCCACGCATAGCGCTGAACATTTCTGTGTGCAGTCTCATTTGAACCCCACAACGGCGTCATGAGATGGGAACAATTATTGGTACCATTTCACTGGTGGGGAAGCTGAAGCCCAGAGAGGGGAGGTGACGACTTAAGATCCTACACACAGTAGGGGGTGGAGCTGGGTTTTGAACCCATGACCTATTTCCTTGCTTCTCCCTCATTTGATCCTACTCCCCTCTCTGCACCCTTGTTAACAGCACTCCTTCCTATCAAGTCCTTCCTGTCCTCCCCTCGTTCCATGGGGACTGGAGTTGGGCAGCCAGCCTCGTCCTTTCTCTGGGCCTTTGTTTCCGCATTTGCGGGGTCCCTTCCAACGGGGCGTTACGCGTGGCCCTGCAGCCCCTGCCTTGAGTTGGGGCTTGATCCTTGCTCGTGGGACACGCAGCCCTGTGGCCTCTCCTGCTCTCCTGCATTGAGGAAGGACCCCCCGGGCTCAGCACAAGCTCCGAGAGCGGGCACCTGGGTCTTCATTTGCTTCTTCCTCCTCCTTCTCCCCCTCCTCCCCTTTGTGCCTCCTGCCAGAGAAGCCCCATCACATTCTCCTCTTTGTCCATCCTCCCCCAGACCAGGGGATGCCCCTGGAGGTCTGCCCTGGCCAGGGGGCTGGCTCACCAAGACTTTCATCAGGATGGCCTCCTCGGTGAACTCCGTGGTGGTGACATGGTACTGGAAGTCTTCTGGGCCTGAGGTGGCTGGGGCTACAATAAGGACATGAAACGGGGGTACGGGGAGGCAGCAAAATGGAGAATTTGTTCTCCCTCTCTGCTCAGCTTTAAGTTCTTTATGCGCTGGGCTGTGCTTCTTATAATAATGACACTTATTGAGCAATACCTTTGTGCCAGGTTATATGCATGATCACAACAGTCTACTCTGAGGGCCTCTGATAATCCCACTTTGCAGGGTCATAGGCATATTGCCTTTCTCTCCCCCACTAGAAAGCGGGCATGCTGTGGGCAGGGTTTGTGTGGTTTGTTTCCCACCATAGCAGAGCCTAGGACAGTCCCTGGCACCCAGTACAGGGACAACAGATAAGTCTGGACCAACATACACAGATTGATGGGCAACAGGTCTTCTAGCAGCGAGTTGAGCAGGGTCGTGGCCACGGGGCACACCTGGAGGGAAGGCACGAGGGGGTCTTTGTGGGGGTTGGGCGAGGTTGGAGGGCTCTCCTTTGGGGTTGTGCTCCTTTTCCAGGGGGAGGTAGGGGGGATGAGCAACTCACTATCTTCTGCAGGAGGAAGGGCAATGCCTGGTCCAGGACACCTGTCACCATCTCCAGAGCTTCATTCACCAGGAGGGGGTTCATCCTAGGGGCCGGGGAGAGCAGATGGGATCTGAGACACCATGGAGTGGGAGACTGAGGCCAGAACGGGGAGGCCAGGGCAAGGCTGAGGAAGGTCTCCTGGGCCTGTGTAACGTGGAAATTCAGAGTAGCTGCTTCCTTCCTCGCCTGATGTCTCCCTCCTCTCTCCTCCTTTTCCTTTTCTGCTTTCTCATCCTTCCTGCCTTCTTGCATTCTACCTCCCTCACTTTCTCCTGCTTTATTTCTTTATTTCTTCCTGATTCTTCCTCCCTGCCTCTGCCTCCTTATTTCTCTCTCTGATAAATGTTTCTGTGATTTTCAAAGAGGGAGAGATCACAATTGGCAGTGGAAGTCATGGCGGGTTTCATGAAGGACATGGCTTTTGTGCCGGGTAATTTGAGAATCATAGATAGAGGCCACCTTATGTGGTAGGTTTAATGCTAAGTGGGTCCCATGGGTTAACGCATCTGTTCCCCACAACCACCCATGTTGGCTGGGTTCTGTGAGAAATCCTATTTTACTGGTGAGGAAACGGAGGCTCCTAGAAGTCAGATGGCTTGGCTAGGGGCCCCAGTGTTAGAAAGCAGCCGAGCCGAGGTTTGATGCACACTCTTAGCCGTGACATTCAGCGTTGAGGCTGGAGACACTGATGGGTGGTGCGGCTTGTGGCCTTGGCGATGATCCTGTCCCTGATGTCCTTGGTCACTCTAGACAACTATGCTGGGAGAGTCTCCGTGAGGGGCCGAGCTGCAGGAGCAGTGCACGAAGGCCTGGCGTCTACCCCTACCCAGTGGAGGCCCAGGAGTGGGCAGGTACTCACTGCTCCAGAACCTTGATGCTCAGGTATCCTGGTGGGCTATGGCACTCCTCAAAGGCCACCTTGGTCTTGTTCCCTGTCTGTTCCAGCCGTACCCCGATGCGGATGTTCTTGATGACTTTGAGCCGCAGGATCCTGTAGGGGCAGTGTGTCTAGGCAGGCTCCAAGCCACAGGCCAAGGTTGAGACCAGAAGTCACAGGCTAGTGGCTGGAGGGCTCAAATGAAACACTAGGAGAGTTGATTAAGAATCTGGAATTCAATCCCGGCCGCAGTGGCTCAGTGGTTGAATGTGGACCCATGAACCAGGAGGTCACGGTTAGATTCCTGGTCAGGGCACATGCCCGGGTGGCGGGCTTGGTCCCTGATTATGCAGGAAGCAGCCCATCAGTGATTCTTTTCATAAATGTTTCTATCTCTCTTTTCCTCTCCCTTCCTCTCTGAAATCAATAAAAAATACATATTGAAAAAAAAAAGAATATGGAATTCATATAGGCGGAACTAAATGAACAAACTGAACTACCAAGCAAAATAGAGACAGACTCATTGAAAGCAGGCAGACAGCTCGGGTGTTGGTGCGGGGGAGGGTGGAGTGATTGAGCAAAAAAGAAAAAAAGAAGAGAGAACTCCTGGACATGTACAACTGTATGTGATTGCTGAGGGGGTGGAGGTAGAGGAGGGCATGAGGGATAAATGGTGATGGGGAAAAAAGGATATGGATTTTACACTTTGGAAAACCTGAAAGATCAGACAATACCAAGCCAGAGTCCTCCCTGAGTGTCAATCTCTTGGGGGCGCTGAGGGTGACCTTGAGATGGGCTATATGCTCTCCAGTTTGCTACAGTTCCACCAGGTCAAGGGTCAAGTTGTATTTTTATTGCACACATTACAAGGGTGATGATATATTTATTGTATAGCAGAGAGATATTTTCTATGCCAGTATCTCCATTAAAGAAATGTTTCTTTGTGCTCCTCTATCAAAAAGGGAAGCTAGACCAAGAAAACCATATTTTACAAAAATACGTATTTCTAAAGGGCATTTAAGAATATTCCTTGTCCAGCTGGCATGGCTCAGTGGTTGAGCATTGACCTATGAACCAGGAGGTCGAGGTTCGATTCCTGGTTAAGGCACATGCCTGGGTTGCGGGCTTGATCCCCAGCAGGAGTGGGGGGGGGGTGGGGGGCGGGAGGAGCGCGGATGTGTGTGTGCAGGAGGAAGTGATCAATGATTCTCTCTGATCATTGATGTTTTTATCTCTCTTCTTTTCCCTTCCTCTCTGAAGTCAATAAAAGTATATTAAAAAATATTCCTGTTTCATGTGCCAATACCGCTATAGCACTTCCCCTGTTGGCTGTTGTTTTTATAACCCCAGGTCAGCATCTTCCTCCACAGCTTAGTGAGCAATCTGAACTCACATAGGCAGTGAACTTTCTCAGCAGCCAAGTACAGCAGGGGACTTGATCATCCCCATTTTATAGGTGAGGAAACTAAGGCCCAGGGAACGGACGCCCTTGCTCAGGTCACCTAGATGGTAAGCGGGATTGGAGTCTAGGTGTGCTGAACTCCAAGGTGACCTTGAATTAGATCCTTCTCAGACCATCCTGTTAATGCATCTGCCTTTTATGCAGATGGGGTGACATGGAAGTCAGAGGGCTTTATCTCAGCTTCTGCTGCTGATTCACCCTGTGACCTGGGGCAGGTCCCTCTCCCACTCAGTGCCTCAGTTTCCCCATCAGTAAAAATGGCTTTGAAACATGCTCAAGCGGAAAGGATTCTTATGATGCTTATGGTGACACAGGCAGCAAGCTTTTGCCAGCAGTGCACGGCGGCCTGCTGCTTGCTGAGGCAGGTGGGAGGAAACGCGCAGGGCACTCACCTCTGGAGCGAGAGGTACAGTTTGCTTCGCAGTGTGACCTGCAGCAGGCTGTCGCTCAGGACTTGCAGGGTGACCTCGGGGCCTTTGGCATCTTCTATGACCAACCTGTGAGAGGTATGGGTGGTGGCCTAGCCTGGTAAGGCTTCTGTGGAGTGTGTGTGTGTGATGGCTAGAATAGGAGTGGACCCCAGGAAGGGTGGGGCAGCTTTGGGACCACCCCTCCCTGACCCCCAGCTCAGCTGCAGAACACTGGGCTCTAGTTCCAGCCCCAAGCCTTGAAGACCTGGTCCCTTTTTCTCTCCAGACCTCAGTGCCTCACCTTCTACAAAAGGGGAGAATACAGTGGAGGAGCTGCCTATACACATTTACCTTGTCTGAATTCAAGTGTAGAATTTGACGAAAACCCTCTTGATTTTCAAATGCTGGCAATTTGCTAAAATATCTTTTAAGAACACTAGGCAAGCTTGTAATTCCCAGGTGCAGACTGAATGTGGAGGGCTACCAGACAGAGATCCCTGATTTAGACCTGCTTTATTCTGTGGGAGATTTCAAGTGTCGTGGAGAGGTTTAAGAACAAGAAAAATGCCCTTGCTGAGCGCTTCCCAGGCTGTAGAGAACCTCCAAGGACACCCAGGCCTCCCACCACCCTCCTGGGGCTGCATTTGCCTGGTGAGAACAAGGTGCCTGAGGGGGAAGACAGGCCAGAGCAGCCTTGGTTTACTCACCCGCCCGCCTGGAGCAGCTGCCCCAGCAGTGGGAGGCTCTTCCCCGAGAGCAGGTCCCCGACCAGCGACAGGTCAAGCCCACTGCTCTTCTTGGAGAGGCCTTTTCTTACGAAGGGCAGGTGGTCCAGGATGGCGATACCTTCACTTGTGGCGCCCGTCACAGGTATCCTGGCCATGCGGCCCAGGATGTGGTGTTCCGAGAGCAAGTCTGAAATATCTGAGGACACAGGACACAAGGCCCTCCTCAGCGTGGGCTCACCGTTCATTCAGTCATTCAGCAAATGCTCACCCGCACCTGCCCTGGGCCAGTGAGGTAGGTGATCATTTAGCAACAAGTACTTACGTGCTCACTCTCTCCTGGCTCAGGGAACGGGAGCCATGTGGCTCCTGCCCTCATGGGCTGTACATGCTGGTGGGGAGACAGACCACACTGAGCACTCAAGGAAGCAAGCACAGCAATTTTGAAAGTGCTAGGCAGTGAATAGAAAATAAAACGGAGTCGAGTTGGAGCATGACTGAAAGGGTGGTCACAGAAGAGGAGGCATTTGAGCTGAGACCTGAATGAGGTGAAGAAATCCACTATTGCAAGATTGGGGGAGGGGGAGGGGAGCAATGTAAACAGAGGAAATAGCATGTGCAAAGGCCCTGAGGTGGCGAGTTTATGAACCAGATCAATGAGGTAGGACTGTGGTGCATGGAGGACAAGGAGCTCACGGCCAAAAGTTAGGGAGAGAGACAGACAAATAGGGCAAGTGCAATCCACGTGGATAAGGCCATTGACAAGGCTTCACCGAAGGGTGGTGAGAGCCCAGCGGGAGGAGACCTTCCGCTTGGGGAGATTGGGAGGGATTCCCATTAGAGCTTTGCCTTAAAGAATGAGTTGGAATTCACCGTGTTGGGAAGAACGAAAAGAGTTGGGAAGAACGAAAAGAGCACAGTAGGCAAAAGGAACAGCACTAGCAAAGGAAGAAACTGGGGCGTCTATGGGGTGGCTAGGACAGTGGTGGTGGAAGAGGCTGGACATACATATAGGGCCTTGAATGCCAGTGTGAGGCTTGGAGGTTCTCCTGAGGGTACTGGGGAGCCACAGCAGTGTGAGAGCAGGGGAAGGATAGGGTCAGCTCTCAGTGAAGGAAGGCAAATTCTGCTGCTGGTGAGGGGGAGGCCAGAAGAGAAGCCTTGAATTGGGAGGTGGTGCCATCTCTCCCCCTTCTCCTTCCCTGTGGGCCTGCCTCCCTCGCCCCCCCCCTTACATTTTACCTGTTTCTAGCTGGTCCTTGCTGATCCGTAGGAAGAGCAGGTGCTGGGCCTCCCCTTGGGCTTGGGGCAGCAGCCCCCAGCATAGCAGTGACCCCCAGAACAGCAGCATCCTCAGGGCCAGGACCTATGGACACAGAGCTGGGAAGCCCCATGTCACCTCCATGTCCTTACCAGGGACCCATTGCTTAGCGTCTCCCAGCTCTGCCTCTTCTAGAACTATCTCTCCAGCTTTCCTCGCCTTGCTTCTCCTCTAGCTCCAGATCCACTGGTCCATGAACACAGCCTGCACTCCCCACCACCTCACACTAGTGCCTTTTTAAAAAAATATATTTTATTAATTTTTTACAGAGAGGAAGGGAGAGGGATAGAGAGTTAGAAACATCGATGAGAGAGAAACATCAATCAGCTGCCTCCTGCACACCTCCTACTGGGGATGTGCCCACCACCAAGGTACATGCCCTTGACCGGAATCGAACCTGGGACCTTTCAGTCCACAGGCCGACGCTCTATCCACTGAGCCAAACCGGTTTCGGCCACACTAGTGCCTTTAGTTCTCTTTGCCTGGAGTGCCCTTTCCTCCTTGTGTGGACTGGCTTCACATCTGGGCTCTGCCACTCCCTGAGCTGTGTGACCCTGAGCAAGTTACTTGATCTCTCTGTACCTCTGACCTCTCATCTGTAAAATTGGGATTAAACATTAATTGTGAGGAATACATTCAACAATATGCACCAAGCCCCGAGCAAGCAACGGACCTAACCCCTGTTAAAGTGGCCGGGCCACACTGTGAGATGTTTAAAGATGTAGTGTTCCCTTTTAGCCATGGAAGCTTCAGGATCTGGAGGAGGACAGGGAAGGGTCCTGGGGGAGGCACCATAGTGGCTGAGCTAGGCCCCTGGGACTTGCAGCCATGGCTTTTTACCAACTAGTAAGGAAATATTTCAATATTACAACTAGTATGTTTGTATGGGGTCCTATCGGCTGAACTGCAGCCCTGTAGAGGGTGGCCAAAAGGCACAGTCAGGACCCCGGAGCCTGCAGGTGGGGGTGGGGTGCCTCTGGGTGGGCAAAAGTGTGTCACCAAGAGACTCAGCTTCTGAAACTGCAAGGCAGAGACCAGCTGGGATGCAGACACATATGCTAGCGTAAGCAGGGCTCACCAGGGAGCCAGCGATGCACCCCCACCGCACGCCTAGGAAGAAGCTGCCCAGAGGGTAAATGCTTCCCCTGAGCAAGGACAGGGTACCCCTAAAAGCAGCTGAGCCTGCCCTGGAGTGCCCTGCATTGCCTTGAGTCAGCAACATCCAGATTTTTGGTGCTTGGTGGCACAGGTGCTGCCCCAAACCGTGATATAATTGGGTATAGAAAAGAAAGGTTTTGTTTGCATATGCAAATTTTGGACGGGAAAACCTGTACTCATGGCATTAGCTCTTTATATTTTGCTTCTAGGATTATTTAAAATTCACCCACTATTTGTCAGTCCCATGACAGACACTTTCCTCAATCAGTTCACCCAAGTCAGTCCCTCCTCCCTCCCTGCCCTTAGTACTTCACACCATCTTCCCACCCTCTCCCTCTCTTGTCCTAAATCACCACACCAGCCCCGACTTCTGCTTGAGCCCTCACTACGTGGCAGACACCACGCCAAGAGCTTCCCAAGCTCCATCACATCACCGAGTCCTCACCGCAGTGGTCGGGATCATGGATAGCAGGCCCATTTTACAGATGACAAAACTGAAGCTCAGAGAGGAGCAATGCGTTGCCTGCCCCAAGTCACACAGGTAGTTGGTGGGAGAGCCTGGATTTGAACCCAGGTTGGCCTGGCACTAAGACCCTCCGCACCGCCCTAACCGGTTTTGCTCAGTGGATAGAGCGTCGGCCTGTGGACTGAAGGGTCCCAGGTTCGATTCCGGTCAAGGGCATGTACCTTGGTTGCGGGCACATCCCCAGTGGGGGGCATGCAGGAGGCAGCTGATCGATGTTTCTCTCTCTCATCAATGTTTCTAACTCTCTATCCCTCTCCCTTCCTCTCTGTAAAAAATCAATAAAATATATTAAAAAAAAAAAAAAGACCCTCCGCACCATTCACTGCATTAGTGTAGGTGCTCAAGAAGCACCGAGAAGTGCCCCTGTGAGCCTCTTGGTCCTTACCTCTCCACGAATGGGGCTGTCTGGAATCTTTCCCTGGTCTCTGTCTCCCGCTTCCAAGAAAGACACTTTTATTACCTGAGTTCTGAAGTCGGTGGGTGGCACATGGCAGCAAGTCCAGCCCCTTGGCTGGGGCTGGTGCTCAGAGGAGCTCTTCAGGGGAGGGAGGGTCCTCTTGGCAGAGGGTGGCAAGGAGCTTCTGGCCAAAACTGATAGGGCCTGTCACTGAGGCTCAAAGGGCAGGCTCTAGGCCGGGGCCAACATACCCCAGGGAGGAAGTGGGAGGACCCTTCAGTTTGGGGTTGGGCCCTTTCCCTTAGGAACAACATCAGAGCTGCAGAGCCTGGCTGGGCCTTTCCTCTTGAAAGGGACCCAAGGAGGCTCCTAATACAGAATGTGCCAGCCATAGAGCCCAAGGGAGTAAGGGTGTATATTGGGGGAGGGGGTGGGCGTGGGCGTGTGGAAGAGAGCAGGTGAGGGACAGAGGCAGGGCTGGGAGGGGCCCGGTGACCACTTTGGGACCATTCCCCATGCCTTTCCCATGTATGTCTTCTATGCCACACCTCTGTAGTCAGGCAGGCCTGGGTTCAAATCCCCACCGCCACGCAGTAACTGTCTAACTGTGGGCAAGTTACTGTCCCTTCTGAGACTCACTTTTCATGCCTGCAAAAGGAGAAAAATAAATCCACATATGTCTTTTGGATATTGTGAAGATCATTGAGGTAACTTAGCACAGGGCCTGGCACATAGAAAGGGTTCAAAAGAAGTTACTTATCTTAATGTCCATTTTACAGGTGAAGAAAACAGACTAAGAGAGGTTAAGTGACTTTCTCAAGGTCACACAGCATGTCTGAGACAAAACTGGATTTGAAATCAGGGCACAGAGAGGGGACTGGCTACCCAGTGAAAGGGAAATTCAGTGTGACTATGCAACCCGGCTTCAAGACCCCCCCGCCCCGCCCCCCTCCGCCCCCGCCCTGAGTTCTCACTCCCAACCAAACTGCTATGCAAAGGTCCTCTTATGTGAGTATCCTGGCACCACCACTGCGAGTGTGCTCAGCTGGCTCTGTCACCATGGATGCCTTCATTAACTGCTGTCTCCCTTCCCTCCCCTTCCAAAATCTGGCCTCTCTAAAGGGACAGGAGGGAAGAATTTGGTTGGAGCCTCATGGAATCCGTCTGCTTTACCTCACTGACTGGAGATTCCTGGGGGAAATGGGCACGTGGGTGAGGCTCGGGTTCCTGTCATTTCACTGGCCGTGTGTTACTTGATCGCTCATCTGTGAGACAAAGACAATAATGACTCCTGCTAGGCAGGAGAGGCTGTGGAGATATCACTTGGTGGTTTTTTGTTTGTTTTGTTTTTAATCTTCTGTGGCTAATAAGACTCAGAGAAGCAGAAGACGTTTCCCTCCCCAGCCCAGGAAGGTCATAGGGTCTGAGAGTTGTGATCTGGGGGTTCCTACCTCAGGGGTGCATGGATGGTGGTTGTGTTTTGTGCCACGCCAGCATGACCAAGGGTGATCCCGATGGTGGGGGGCAGGTGAAAGGATTAAGGAAAGACAGACAAGAGAATAATAGCTGGGTCTCGGTGGGACGCTGCCTCCCTGATGAGGAGACAACAACAGAGCCCACAAGCCGTGTCTGTATTTTATAGCAGATGCCACGAGGCAAAGTAGGGGCGTGATCACGTTGCTTACAGCATTCTCGTGAGTTTCAACCTCATTTAACTACATGCACCCGAACTCTATCACAAGGCACGTGGGGCCACGTGTTTGGACCATAGGTTCAAGCTTACAACCACAGCCGTTGGCTATGATTGTGCTGGGAGGGCCCTGCCCTCCAGCTGGGACTTGCACGTGGCAATCAGAGGACCCTGTCCTTTCATTAGTCCGAGGTTTGAACCCGGCCAAAACACCGTAACCGCGCCCCACAGTGTTTCAGGCCTCAGATGGAAGGAGGCCGGCACAGAAGACACTTTCTCCTTTATGGGAGGTGAAGACCCGAGGGGGAGTGATGAAGTTACAGAGTAGGAGGCATTGTGGGGTGATGTGTAGGGGCTGCTTGTTAGTCATGTAGTCAGAGCCTCAATTTCCTCATTTGTCAAGTGGGGGTGCTATGGGCTGTGGGAAAGGCCGGGCAGATGAAGATCTGTCAGACCCTCAGCAGAGCAGGTGCTTGTCTTGGTTTGGGTTCCCCAGAAGGGTTTGTGTGCAGGTAGCTGATTTGGGAGGTGATCTCAGGAGACTCTGGTAGTGGGAGGGGGAAAGGAAGGGAAAGAGAGCCCATCAAGCAAGTGATTCCAGGGCACCTTGGGCTCCGTCCCGCTGGGGTATTGTGGGAGCTGGTGTGGAGTTGTTCCCTGCCCCATGGGGTGAGGAAGTGGGGTTATTTATCCACTAACCTCTGGGAAGCCCCAGAGGTTGTGGGTGGTTGGACCCTGGAGCCATGGCCATGGCTGTTTAGGGGAAGTGCTCCTGCTTGACGGGGGTGGGAGCTGCTCAGGATCGCACCGTCTGGGACAAGGGTTCCTTCTTCAGCTCCAGATGGGACCCAAGACCATAGGCTCTGTCCCATCTTCCAGGCTCCTCAGAAGCCCCCCAACAGATCCTTGTATGACTCCAGGGAACCAGCAGAGACCTACCCCAGACAAGATGGAGATCGACTTCCTTTTTTTTTTTTTTTTAGTTAATCCTCCCTAGAGGATATTTTTTCCATTGATTTTTAGGGAGAGTGGAAATGAGAGAGGGAGGGGGAAGGGAAAGAGAGAGAGAGAAAGAGGGGGGGAGAGGTGAGAAAGACATGCTGATTGGTTGCATTTGGTGTGTGGGCCAACACTCTAACCACTGAACCACACCGGTCAGGCAGAGATCAATTTTCTGGATCTCCCTTGCCGAGCGGGAGTTCACACCTATATTTAATATGATTTGGAAAAGAATGCGATGTGGTGTTTGGGGACACAGGCCACTAAGTGTGGCTGGGGGTCAGCGGTGCGTTGGGACTGCAGCCCTGGCCCTAGAGCTCA